TTATCTGGCAGTGGCATAATTTATCATCACCTTCCCCCTTCCTCCCCCCCCCTTTTTTTTCTTTTCTTTAGTAAATTGCGAAGAATTTGCATGAAGAAGTATGTATGAATAACTTTTGAATTATTATTATTATTAAATTTTAATTATTATTATTTCTATCTTAATACAAAAAAACTCAGGGTTTTACTCTAAAGACTCTAGCAAAGTATCACACTTGCATATTACATAGTCTGTTTTGTCTTAATGTAATATAGAATTATAGAATTGTTACAGTTGGAAAAGACCTTCAAGATCATCTGGTCCAACTATCACCCTGCTACCAATGTCACTTACTAAACCATGTCCCTAGGCATCTTTCTGTAAACACCCCCAGGGATGGTGACTCCACCACTTCCCTGGGCAACCTGTTCCATTGCCTGACTGCTCTTTCTGAGGAGAAATGTCTCCTCATTTCCAATTTGAACCTCCCGTGGCTCAACCTGGGGCCATTCTCTCTAGTTCTATTGTTAGTTACCTGTGAGAAGAGGCCAACCCCCACCTCCCCACATGTTCCTTTCAGGTAGCTGTAGAGGTCTTGCCTGAGCCTCCTCTGTTTCCTCAGCTGCTCCTCATAGGACTTGTGTATAGCAAAACTTAAAGATGTTTTAATTAATTTGTAGGTGACAAGATGGTTATTCAAGATTTTTATTTATTTATTTCAATTTTACATTTTTTTAAATCTCTAACTGTGCCTTGTAAGTTGAGATTGTGATGAAGAACTATTGGAAATTCTGAGGAATCAATAAAAAATCAATAAGAGCACAAATGGAAAAGGGCTGAGGTTTTATATATATTATTTACCAAAAAGATACACTGAGCTTGAAGGAACATGCTGTATTGACAGAACAATACAGTATCTTCTTCAGAATACCGGTGCAATAAAGGATGAGTCTAGCACTGTGGTGAGAGCAATTGGGCAGTGACAGAATGACGAGTGCAAACAAAAAAATCTTCACTGTTCTTCTGGATTGTCTTCTAACTGTGTATGCTCTCCATCCTAGTAAAACTAACCCATCTGAAAAAAAAAATAAATGGAGAAGCTTGTGATTTATTAACTTTACATTTTCTGCTTTGGTTCAAATGAAAACTAAGATACAACAACACTGTCCCCAGTCCATGCACTGGAAAATGAGGAGATAAAAGTCCTGCATTTTGTTTTATACCCTTATAAACCCTCACAAGAAGGGCCACCATCACTCCTTAGAAATAATGTTGCTTTTCACAGAAACAGAGTTGTTATACAATGCTGTTGGTACAAATTCTAGTGCTTCATTCTGCCTTCATGTCACAAGAATACTGGAAAATAAATTAATATATTTGTGTAGGCTTACTACTCAGTGATGTTGTTTTATCTTGTGCCTGTGCTGTACATTTGCACAAGTAGAATTGTTACTGGAGTTTGCAGCTTAAAGATATACAGTGATCTGCTGTCTAAGGTATCTGAAACTTTTAAAATCTTAAATTTCAGACAAAAATTTCACTGATTTTTTTTTTCTGCTTTTCATCATCATCAGGAATCAAATACAAACCAGAAGTCACTTTTTCAGCTAGTTCTACACATGCAGAGATTTTTCAATTATTTGCAATGCTTAGGAAAAACTAATTAGAATATATCTATCTTTTTCTTATGAAACATGAAATATTCTTATGTTTTCATGAACAGTGGTTTATTTTATTTATTTTTTTCTTGTAAGGGCTCTCCATTTTTTATGAATTTAAGAAAATGCAGTACAAAATGCAGACTGTTCCTAGGCTACACGAGAGGCCCTTAAAAAGTTAGTGTAGTCCACAAGAGATGTATGACTAAGCTTAGTGATGCATACATGTAGAAGCTAGACTGCTTCAAAGAGTCAGTCAGATCTCCTGGCAATGTCTGGACTCTTCCGTGTAGCTTAGGATGTTCTTGTTAAATTTCTAACATATTGCTTCTGCCTATCAAAGACGAATTCGGAATTGATTCTTTTTCCTTTCTGTGAGCAACCTACAAGCAATATTTGCAAATATTATGTATTGCAAATACATAATATGTAAAGACACATACATAGTATGCAAAGACACAGAAGAATAAGGAGAGAAAAAGCAAAAACCAAGGTAATAATATTAAAATTAGACTTCTACTTAATGAAGATAGCAGCATAACCTCTTCAGTATGTATGTATGTATGGGGATTTATAGAATCATAGAATCATTAAGGTTGGAAAAGATCGACAAGATCATCTGGTCCAACCATCACCCTACTACCAAAATGCATCAGTTTTTGCCATCAGAAGAGATTTATTTTATTTCAGTTGTATATGTAGGGAGCTATTGGACTCTCAGGCCAGAATGCCCCAAGTGTACCGAACACAGAAGCGCTTATGCTTTGTAATTATTGTTACTTCTATCACAGTTTTGTTTCTCTTCACCTTTTTGCAAGGTTTCTTGTGTTTAATTGAATCATTTTATTAAAGTGAAGAAAGAGATAATTTTGGAGAAAGCACAGACCTATTAAAGAAGTGAGGAAAAATAATACAATGTTGGTGAACGTGGGGCAGATTATAGCGACTGGTTCAGTCATGTTGTCAGAAGAGCTTGTGGCCTTTAAAAAAGGATCAAAATTTTTTTATAAACATAGTCAAAACCAACTTGTGATCTTGAGTCCATTCATGATCTTGAATTTTGAGTGGGCAGTCTCACAGCAGTTTAGCACATGTCACTCTCTCTGAATTACAAGTAGTTTTGTACAACTATATTTTGTCAACAAATTTGGGTCTATATATATACATACATAAAAATCAAAAATATACATTGAAATATTTCACTGTTGGAGGTAGTTGTATCATAGCAATAATCCATTGCAGAAAAATACAAAGGGCATGTGCGTGATGTATTTGAAGTGTGCTATTCTAATCACAATATCTTACTGCAATAAAACAAATTCTAATGCATTCTTCAATTAAACTAATGTTAGCAGTTATCCTACAATTGTTAGAGTAAGTAAAGATGGAATATTGAAAGATAAACAACAGCAAGCAATGACTGAAAAAAAAAGATAGTGACTTTATACCAGTTGCTAGGTACATCTGTTCCTGATGTTCATGACCTCTGAGGAAGTGACAGCATGTAGAAAAGAACACAAAATATAACATATGAACAATTAACTTTTCAAGTCTGCCTTGGAGGGGCTTGTCTATGTTCATTTTTTCATCTGACGTTTGTGAACTGCTTTATTCTCAATGTTTATTACCAGAATTTAAAAACAAACAAACAAACAAAAAAACAAACAAGAAAAAAAAAAAAAAAAAACAAAAAACCAACAACAACTTGGTCAGTCCCTCTCCACAGATTGGCCTGGATGAGATGTATTTTCCTGAGAAAAGCCCAATACAAACCTGTCTTCCAGAGAGGCTCTCCTATCTCTGGTGCAAGCAGGGTAGATTTCAGGAGCCCCATCTGCTGCAGTGAGTCATCATTGCTTCTCCCGGAAGGATCAACACCTGTTAGCAGGGCAAGTTTACTAAAGAAAAGCTGCCAGTCTATTAAACGACAATAAAAGCAGTTCACATTTTATGGCTAAATTATAAACATAAGTTTGCAATAAAATGCAATATCTGCATAAATCTGTCATCTGAAGGATACAACTGGAAATGTCTGTACCTCGCCCCTGTGCAAAATTGCTAACTGTGTGTTATCAGTGAATTCAGAAAGCCATCACTTACAAAACCAGCAAGTATCTGCAGTCAGCTATTGGAAATGCATGCAGGCAGGAATTCAAAGGTGGAACTTCTGTTTGTTTTAAGCATCGCACCCTGTCCCAGACGGAACATTAACTCATTTACTCATTACTTTTTTTTTTTTTTTTCTCCTTATTCACTCCCAGTTGTTTTTTGTGTATGTTCAGCTCTACAGTTTCTGTACCTTGGATATACTTGCTCAACTCTCCTCTTGACCCAATGCTCTTCAGAGAATGATTTTAATTATACTATGATAGGTAAGGAGTATGGCATTTCCTGAAGATTAAATAGGTGTCTGAAAAAAGTTTGTAGCTCTTTGTTACACCCTAACTGGGAGGTGTAATTCAACTTTATTTGTCAAAAATGTCCCATGTTTGTTGAATTTATTTTACAAAAGCAAAATAAAACTTAGCTAAAATACAATTTTCTAGTAGTGGGTGAATGTTCTGGCTGTTTTCTCGTCTGTTAATTTTGAGGCACAGCTTGCATGTCATGTTGATCATGGCTTCTGAGTGTGATAAGCTCCCTGAGATTCTCTTACTGTCCAAGGCTGGGGATAGTAAGAAGGCTGTGAGTATATGGATCTGTTATAGGACACTGTGGCTCTAATTAGCAACATGGGACAGATGGGAGTTGGGGTGGGTGGAATAGAATCCAAAATGGACAACTGCATGCACTTACCTGTGCTATCTGGATTTTGGGGAAAGTGAAAGTCTTAACTGAAATTTAAATTAGGTGTTTCAGATTGCCCCTTCACGTAGAATTTTCAGACACTAGATAGTACTGAAATTCTTGTCTAAAGTAGATGGAGCTTTTGTGGAGTTGCCCTTATTTTACAGCAAGACTGAATGCTGTTTGTAATATGTTGTATACTAATTAGGCAACATTTGAAAATATATATCTTTAGGGTGTATAGACAAACTACCTTAAAAAAAAAGTAGAATACTCACCTAGCTTTACTATCTTGTTTTAGATGAGCTTCAGAATAGGTGTAGCATAAATATATGTAAACTCAGCGTCAAAAATGATGATCTGTTTAGTTACGAAACCCAATCCAGTATTAATGATTGCTGATGAGCTGTCAGTTACCATGCCTTGATTCAGAGGAGGATCTAACATTCTCAAGGCCACTTGAACCATATTTACTCAGTTACATCCAATACACATCTAGTCAACTCTAATGCTCTTTAGGCAGATTTGCTATGGAAATTTTCCAGCCTGTTGTCTGATTGGGTGGAAAGATAAAATCTCAGAGGTAATCATGTTTAAAAGATGCCATGAAAGTAGTGACTGACGGAAGAGGGAGACATTCTAGGTGACTTGACTGAAGAAAGGGCTTCCAGGTGAGTTCACAGCTTCTTAGAGATTCCTGGTGATGAAAACTTTCTCAGCACTCAAGGCATCGCTTTGAAATACAGAATGTGAAAGATTGCAGCTGCCTGCCTTGCCTACTTGTCGAAGCAGTTTCTTTGCTCACTGTCATCTGGATGCAATGTCCTCAAAGGACAGTGCAACCACCTTTTAAATAGCAGGTAAGCTACACAACTGGGCAACAACTGCTGTTGTATAACTTGGGAGCTTTTGAACTATGTAAGGTGGGGGTAGTGGTGGTGAGAGAGAAGAGTCTGCTAGGCTACTCTCCCAATGCACAGTATGTCTGCACCTGACTCAAGAGTATTTAGCTCATGAGACTGAAGCACAGACACATAGGAGACAAGGTGGCATTAATTCCTCTAATCAGGGAAGCATTTGTTTTATCTCACTTTGCTGCAAGAGAGAACAAGACCTGAGGGGTCACACTGCTGCCATTTGCCACACAAGAGCATTCAGAGCTCTTAACTCCAATTGTGCTCCTGTGGAGTCTCCATTCAGGCTTGTAGTGGAGAGTAAGAGGCCAATTTAAACTGCCATGCAGCATGCAAGAGCTTGCTTTATGTAAACTGCTACACGCTGATAGCTCTGGTTTCTAACTAACCATGGTAATTCAGAAATTATCAGAGACATGTAAATAAAAAAATGGAATACAAAAGAATAAAAATGTGTATGGAGGGCTTGGGATCTCTAGTGTAGGCTGGAAAAAGACAGTGGCTCAGACACTGTTTATCATGTAAATCAATTGAATCAAGTGGAAATAGGTCTTAAAAAAAATCCTGTGTAGCAGAAATGGAACTTGATGGCTTAAACTTGTACAAACATATTTCAGGGCTGTTTGGAGCTTAAAATACTGATTGTGCTATGTGTTAGATTTTCTTTTTCTTGTTGATTTTGTTAACTCTTTGGTGTCAATAGCTAACCTAACTCACACAGTCAGGGTTTTGTTTATTTTCAGGTTTCCACAGCTTCTGACTAACATTTATATAAAAAGTTATATCCTATGTTGATGTTTATTCTCTGGAGGTTTCATTATAGTGACACTCTGGAATGTCAAAAAAAACCACAACACAACAAACAAACAAAAAGCCTCTCTACATTTTTGGGCAAACTCTAATCACAGTCACTTAACTTAGTTACGAGAAATTGAATTTTTGTAGAAGCAAAGTCGTCTGTCCCATGCTGTCACCTACCACGCTTCAAACTCAGTACAGAATTCAGTCCCTTAGTCCCTTTATAGGTGCTTCAGCTAAATTTGACCTATGTTCTCTGTCTCCTCCTTTTTTAACTTATTCGGTCTTTCTGAATTGGACCTCTATTTTTTTCACTTATAATACTACAGTATTTGCTGTGACCTTTAGTTTTTTAAATGATACAGACAGGTAACCTTGTTCAGATCCATTTCATACATCTGTAATGAAGTTTGTTTCTTAAAATGCCTAGGTTTGCTTTCTTTTATTGTTCAACTGAAACAGAAAATAAAAGCCTGCTAATTATGCTTGTCATCCAAATTATTCTGTTGATAAAAGAAGGCATTTGATCAGAGTTACAGGTTTCAAGCTATTTAGGTGACTTTCTCCTGTTAAATTAATCAATTTAATGGGCACACTAAAAAGTAAGTAGATCTGGACCTTTGTTCTTTGATGAGATTCTTACTCTTGTAAGAACCACTGTTCAGATGCAAAGTAAATTTTGGAAAAGATAGATGAATCCTGTCACACTTAAATTCCATGTTATAAGCTATAAGAAAAGACCTCAGTGTCAGTCCTATTAGTTACCTTTAACCTCTCTGAATCTAAGCTGAACACTGAAGGTAAACATGAACTCTCAGATTTAGCCAGCTTGAAATATACACTTGTGTCAGCAGAAAAAAGTTCATTCCAAACATCTGAGGTGTATCAAACATGGGATTGCTGTTCAGTGAACCTTTAACCATGTATTTTTTTGCTGGAGTATTTCTTTAGGGATAACTCAGACATTCAAAATAATGAATGAGTGAGATGTTTCTATACTCATTATAAAAACTAGCTTGTATAGTTCCCACCAGATTATATTATAGCTGTTTTTTTTTTTTTTTTTTTTTTTTTTTAACAAAAACAAACAAACAAACACAACATGAGGATAGAAATCCTTATTCAATTTTCTATTTAATATTTCATTTTAAGAAAATTAGGAAATCCCTGAATAAAGACAAAGCAAACAAATGAAAAGAGGGACAGCAAATGCTAAAAGCTCTCTGACACGTCAGTTTGGACATGATTCAAGGATGATTTAGATTCTGTAATGTGGTATGTGACCTTAAAATGTGGGGAAAAAAATAAAATTCTTATTGATTTCATAATATTCATGGGTATAGATGGAGTAAGTCTAGAAAATCACAAGGTAAACCCACCTAAGATAAAACAATTTTATAATGAAGGAATGTAAAAATAATGATTATTTGATGAGGAAGCCACAAAAATGAAATGATACACAGATTTTTCTGTTGGTGGTCTTTGTTGTCTGTAATATTCAGAGAATGTTCTTGCTCTCTCCATTTATAATCTATTTTGTGACTATATATATATATGTATATATTGAGCATTTACTAATTTACTCTGTATTGCTATTTTAGTGCAAATGATGGCTAAATAATGATTTTCTACTTAAGAAATAATCTCCATTGTTGTAGGATCTGCATCTGATAATTAAATATGACTACAACTATGCAGCCAGAGAAGAAGGTGTGGATATATAACAGGGATCAAAATCAATTACTGGGCTGCCTCACTCACAACAAAAGAGAACTGTTGCTATTAGCATTTTTTTTTTCATAAAAAAAAATAAAGAATTTAAAATGTCTTTAAAGTTAAAAGAAAAAGTATATCAAGAATTCGTTTTTTCAGATGACACTTAATCAGAGTAAAAGTCAGCCAGAGTAATTGTTTTTAAACAATCACTGTATCCTCATATTGTTTCCACAAATTTATTAAGCATCTCTGAATGCAGATGGGCTTGTGAGATGATGAGGTGAATGTGACTGTGAATTATTGAAGAAATTCTTATTGTCTTCCAAGATAAGTTTATGACTTGCCTCTACATGTTTCTTCTACTCAGGAAACTGAGTGACTGCTGCCAAGATTTGTATACTCTTCTGTCTCCATTTAACTTTCAATTGTTTGTTAGCTTTGCATGCACACACAACTCTTTTACAGGTTTAATTCATTTTAGTCTAAATGACAAGTATTTTTATAGAGTTTTTTGTCTTTTTGGTATCACTTTCTCTAACAAGGCACACACTGTATAATCAGCCAACTACTCTGTAATTATGTTGCAAAGACTATGTAAATACCTAATTATTTTCATGCAGATTACTTGATAATTATACTACCAGTTACAAAGTAATTCAAAGAATAATTACCATGTAACTTCCACTTTTTAGATGTGAGGATAAGGCTTTGTTTTAAAGATATAGAGAAGTGCATAATTATCCTGGGGTTACAGTCTACTGTGATTATTGATTATCTTACATTTAAAGTATTATTATATGGCTACTGGGCTTCATACCACAGTTTGAAAAAAAACACACCTCTTTGCTCTCTGCTTTGTAGCAAGTGTTAGACAATGACAATGTTAACAGTTTTTTACTTTCTTATTAATTGAAATGGATTTTAGACTTTGATTGTGAAGAAGAAAATGTTATTTATTTATTTATTTATTTTTTTACTAAATCGTACTATGTCTTTTTGAAGAAGCAAATGACGTGTACCCAGACTCTTAAAGGGGACTTGGATAATGCAAAGCTCATTTATACCAAACATTTTTTAAGTTTCTAGAAAGGGTACCATAGTGTATGTCTTAAGAGTAATGAGGTATCCCACAAAGGATGCTGTCCATCTCTTAAAGTAGACCATAGGGAGACGGAGGGTGTCACCTGTAGGTCTCAGGAAAGGGAAAGTTTTCTTCCATCTCCAATTGTATGAAATAGTCTTTTGGTAAAGACTCTCAAAAAATTCTATAAAGTGAACATTTTGCAGTATATTAAGTAACTCCAGGACTCCCATCTCATTTCTAGCCATGAAGATACAGACTAATGAATTTGTTGTCTTGTTGGTTCAGTTAATCTTTCATTACTTTAGGGGAAATTGAACCACTTGAGTTGGAAGGCATAAGAATGTTCTTTTCTCCTTTTGAGAAGCCTGGTATTTTGTCTGCTGGCTACAGCCAGTGGAGCTTAGTTATAAAACACGCTGAAAGAACAGGGCATACAGTGTGATTTATTCCTGTTATACTGCACAAGTAGTCTCCCAGTTATTTTTTGATGCTGAATTTAGAAGCGTTACACATCACCACTGAAGTAACATGGATGCACATGCAGGATCCCACACTAAGCTATCTGGTAGTAGGCAATAGTTGAGCAAAGGGATGAATCCCACTAATTCCTACATAAGATTATGTAGGACCAGCTTTATGCACAGGCAAAACAAATGGTAGCCTGGGACAGCATGTTGGAGGAGGGGTTGCAAGTTCATCACCAGCTGGAGAGGATGTCTGGGAAGTCTCATATTGGTGATAGTGGACTGTGACTGCCCAATACCACCTGAGCTGCTCTTCCAGCAGGATGAGCCCAGCTGCAGAACCTAAGTAACACCAGCACTTGAAATTTTACCTCTGCTCTCCATGCTTCCATCCTAGTGGTCAGTAGTTCCATCTCTGAGGGACCAAACGAGAAGGAGGGAGCCAGTCCCCCCTCTTTTTACTAATCCTATGGCAGCACTGTGTTTGCTTGACGGGAAAAGGCAATATTCCCGTCAAAAAAAACATTGCTCAGCGTGAGTGAACCAGACAGGGAAGCTTGCTGAGTGGTGGCTAGTGCCTGTGGGAGCTTACCTATGACTTTCACAGCTAAATTTACCATAAGTTATTTTGTTGATAAAGGATGGCAACACTTGGTATTGTTTACATTGCTGAGAAACCTTGAGTGAACCCTGAAACTATTTTCACTAAAGGGCCGAGCATATTTTGGTAGCTCTGTTGTTACAACTGTGCTTACATCGTATAAATATCCGTAAACGCCAATGCCACAGGCTTCAAGATCTGTTGCTTCTAGTTGCTTCTAAGAATGCAGTGGAAACTCCAGTATGCTGTTGTTGAGTAATACTCCACTATGAAGTAGATAACAATTTTGAATGCAATGAACCTTTCCTCTGCTGCCTGTGCTCCACATTTTCCTGAGATCTGTTACGTTTGATTCTTTTTTACTCAGGCAAAGAAACTGAGAAGACCCTGCTCCCCTCTTGCTCTTGCCCAGTGCAGATGACTCTGGTTGCTATATAGCAGTGCCAGCTTGGCTTGGAGGGGGATTTGCTTTGGGATTCTTCAACATGGATTTTGACTAATGTTCTTTACAAATGAAAAGGCTTGCACCTATATTTGTTGTTTTGTGTATTGGAAAAAAGGGAGCAGTCCTTCAGTATATACGTGTGTGTATCTATTTTATATCTGTGGATATGTATGTACATATATATAATACATAAAAATGTGTGAACTTTTTGTATATGCATGTATATATTGTACAGTGGATGATCCTAAGAAGAAAACATCCCATTGAAAATGATAGCTTGTTGTCAGACACCTTAGTATGTCATATCTAAGCCACTGAAACTGCTAGACAGTATGTCCTTGGTGCTCCCTCGTAACTTGCAACTGGTACGTTTCAAAAGTATCCTACTTACTGACACCCTGGAGCTGTTGAAATGTTGTATAGGTGACAAAAGGTGCCAAGGAAAATCTGAGCTGCCAGGGAGTCCCTTGAATAATCACAGGCTTCCAAACAATATTGGTTCATTAAGCTGGAGGACAATCAGACCTAAGATAATTTTTTATGTTGTTTCAGTATTCCAGCTTCTCTTTCTATGGTGACTGGCCAGTACTTCCAGTATAAAATGTACAATGTTCTGTCAGGACCAGGGACATTGTTTTTACTTGGCAAGACAGATCTGGCTTACTACATTGTTTTAAAAAGCCACTTGGGTTGTTAATTCCGTCCTTTTTTAACCTAGCTTCAGCCAGCTGGTATAATAAAAGAAGGAGAGTAAGAGTTGGACCTTTCCATGCTCATGGGATATTGCTTCTTTTAGAAAAAACAAATACCTGAGACACATCTGTGAGCTGAGCCAATCTGTCCTTTCCTGTATGCCTTTCTAAGTGATATGCACAGTGAAAAACACAAAGCTGCAGGAATAACAGGAACCCACCTATTCCAAAGGAACTGTATTGGTCTCTGATTGCTGCAGGTCTTCAAATGATTCAGGTACTGAAAAAGTTATGACTCACAGTGCTGTTACTGGATCAGCCCAGTCTCCCTAAAGGTGAGTGTCTGCCTTGCTGGGTATGATTTCTCTAGGAGATGCATTATGTACAATATAAGGAAGATAGCACAGGATGTGTGTGGGTGTTACAGATGGCACAGGAGTATGTGTACAGGGCTCAAACACATGGAGTCTTGGGGTTTGCTATACCGTATTTAACAGGAGAAAAAAAAAAGTCTCTCTGCATGAATGGTCTTGAAGCTGCAGCTTTGGCTCTGAACCCTTGCTCTCCAATGTGCTTCATCTTCAAAGCTGGAAATCAAGGGAATGTAGTCCTCATCTTTATCAAAATCTGTTTTCAAAACCTATTTTAAAAGCCTATTTTTTTTTTTTAGCAACAAGATTGTGGATTATTCAAGTGATGTAGCATATGTTCATGGCATTAGTAACTCTCCTGGTGGAATCACAGTCCTGTGATGAGTATTTTTGAATCAACTGCTCAAATTAATAAGTTGTATAAGATCAACAGCCTTCCTTAATAAGGAAAAACAAACAAAACCACCACCACCAAAAAAAAACCTCAGAAATGTATTTTCTTGACTGTCTCTCTCAAAAGAAAGTACAATTTCTGTGGACAGTAAATATCCACAAAGGCCTTCCAATAGTCTTTTAAAACAGTGTTCAAATATTCACAAAATACATAAAAGTAAGAATTTCTTAGGAAAACCAAACACTTTAAAAAGTTACTTCAAAACATGGGACAGAATTTAGTGGCTAAGGTACAGATGTACAGACGTGTAATACTTTTGGAGAGCATGGGGAGTACTTTTCTCTCTCTCTCTCTCTCTCTTTTTTTTTTTTTTTTTTTAAGGCCACTTAACTCCAATTCTGGGTTCAGCTGGTATGGACCATCTCACCAATCCATGTCTGGCTGGTGGTGTGTTACAAACAGCTTGCAGAAAACTTGTGCTGCTCTTACACTGTGTAGCTCATCCTTTTCCCTAGACATTGTGTTCAACAGGATTGCACCCTTGGCTCCAGATTTCATTGTTGCTTAGGTTTCCTTCTACACTTTCAGTTCTTCCCTTTGCTAAAATAGACAGATTGCAAGGAGTCATCTGAATTCTTTAAAAACTCTGGTAGGAATTTTGGTCAGTTAGCAAAGTAGCTGATGGGATGCTGGAATGGCATGGGGTTTTATCAGTTTTTAACAGAAGCTTGGCTACTGTGTGTGATTTGTATGTGAAAAGGTTACTCAGGTTACAATTCATCCAGGATTTCTTTTTATGCCCATGTGAGACAAAATGCAATACCAGTACCTCACCTGGAAAGCTTGAGCTCTGCTCTTGACTGTCCAGGGCTTATAAAAGGGAGCACAAATGTTAAGTGACCTAGACATCTGTCTGCTGCTGTGAACTAGAGCTGTCTCTGGGAGTTTGGCAGTGGGAGAAACTGTTCTGCCCTATAATGAATGACCGGGGGCACGATATTTAATCAAACACTATAACTGTGCATGTTTTTCTTTCAAACTGTAGGAAAGAGTCCAAGGAGTCCAAACAACTAAATAAAATAAAGCCATCTGGAAGCTTTTCCTGGTCTGATCTAGTCTACCTGGACCTGTCTAAGAAGCTCCTGTTCAATACAGAAAAAAGATCTGGGTGCTTGTGTCCAAAACATAATCCTTTTGCATATGTTGGTATATGTTCAAATCCTACCTTACAAGTGTCTAATTATGCTTATTTCTCCTGCTTACAGCTCTATATTGTATGGGTAATTTAGTGGATTCAGGTTTTTGAAAATGAATGCCCTCATTTATTATTATTTTTTTTTTTATTCTTTTTATTACTGCAGCATTGTATTTTACTAAATAAACATTACAAAGATGCTCAATCTATCTCTGGTTACTTAGATTCAAAAGAAACCATAAGACTCACTGAAGAACTGAATATTCAGTGGATTTTCCTACTGCTCCTTGTACCAAACACTTCATCTCATCATTTTCTCTGAGGAGATGTACTGTGCGATTCACTGAAGTCATTCACAACATTTTATATTGACTCGCACCTTCGCAAATTGTATGAAAATTCATGCAGTGTCAGAATTAGACAGTGATCCTTAATGCTTCCTCTAGAACTACTTTGGCATTTTATAAATGGATTAAAATTCTAGAGTAATTCATGTGAAAAACCTATTAGCTAGTATTTTAAAAATACAAAATTGCTGATGTTTTTCTCTCTACAAACACGGGAACATATATATGAAAGATCTCCCTACTATTTAAAAAAAATGTAAAAGTCTGGAATTATCTGTTAAAGTCCATTATTTAATATTGTTGAAAATGTCTATTACATAAATTTTGACACTACATTTATTTTCAATATGAGGACTATGTTTTAATCTGCTATTATTTCTTTTTCGGATGACACCCTTTCCTCTGTTTAAGAAAGGAAGACTTTAAAGACACTTTGTAAACAACTTTTAAATAATTTGCAATGTCATAAACTACAGGTAATCTTTGCTGTCAAAAAATAAGGTTTTAAATAAGTGAAATACATCTAAAATCTCTGGAAACATAGTTTTTAAAAGAGAATTTTCAGAAATAATTTTCCTATCTGAAAGAAAACTGAACTATAATATTAAAGTGTTAGGTGTTTTCAAATGCAGTAAGTTTTGTGGAAGCAATACACCATAGAAACCTTTAGAATCATACATTTTCAACTGCAGTATTTGAGAAAAAATGTTAGGGAACTTCCTTTCGTTCTCTTTCTGGTTAATAATAAATGTTCTTCAAAGTGTTCTACAGTATTTTATTGCAAATTAATTCATATTTTGTTCTTTTATTAAAAAAAAAATATTTTAACTCATTCTTTGTGGAATTCTCCACTTTGAATTAGGCCCATCCCATTCCTGCATAGCACTCATTAAAATGGATTATTTAAGTCACAGTTATTTTATACAATGTTGTAGCACATCCTAAACCATTTGGAAAGAGGAGTATCCTGTAGTAATAACAGGGAATGTGGAAAGCAGCATTTGATATTATAATTGCCAGTGTAATATTTTGACTGAAGTTGTGCATGTCAGGCAGCATCCTTATCAAGGCACAGTCAAGAAATTAATTGATGCTGCCTCTAAGGGTATGCAGTAGCTGTAGCCTGATCCATCGGGGCTACACAAAGGGGGGAAACGGATGAATTCACTGTGTGTGTTTCTGACATATCCCACACCTTTCTGATCCTGTTTGGGGTGGCTTACTGTCAGCAACATGCTTTTCTCTTTTGATTGGAGTTTTGATAAGCAAAGGTCCTGAAGGATTGTATAATGCTGGCACTACCAATCACCCTCTTCCTCTCTGCTCAGGAAACCTAAGAAAGAAGCTGAAAATGTTTAAGAGCTGTTCTTTGTAAATATAATGCTCTCAATTTAAATTAATATATATATATATATATATATATATATATATATATTTCTCAGCCAGTTAACACAAACAATGCAAAACATCATTATGCTGAGTAGTTTTTTTTTTGAGGGTCAAATTTGGGAATTAGATGAATCCAGAATATGTGAATAAAATGAACACTATAGGGACTGTGGCTTTAAATGTGTTATTTAAAAAAAAAAATTCTCCACTAGAATATAAGCTCATATACCAAGGGATGGCTACTAATGAATCATTAATGTTGATTTACTTTTTCCTTCCTCTCCTTGAGGCTATATAAAAATGGTTCAGGCCCCTAAATGAAGGTACTGCAAAGTATTATTAATCTGGGGGAGAAGATAAACCTCTTGTTTTAAAAGGCCATTATAATTGCTTTCTGAAGAAAAAGGAAAAGCAATACCAGCCAGTTAATGAAAAGCAAAGCAAAAAGCCTTCCATAAGTAACAGTGGACCACTTGAAAGGAAAACATAGAAGGTTCACATTTTCAATGCATAATTATTGGGGGGTGTCACTCTAAAAAAGTAGAAGGCACAAGTACACTGCATGATGTAGTGAACGCTAGTCCTCCCTGCCTACTCTCTTGTTTCTATATTTGTCATGATGAATTGAAAATAAGTTTCTGTGTATGTTGCTATTTCTAAAACTTAAAATGTCTTAAAATCAGATAACAGTGACCAGAATAATCATAGTATCAGTGTTTCCTGTCCTGAAGAACCACAGGCCTCTTTATTTATTATTTATTTATTTATTTATTTATTCCCATTGTTCTCCTCATCCTTTTGCTAATCATGTCTTAACATATATCTGAAGCCCAGAGGGAGAAAGGGACAGGCACCAAGGACAGAAGGGCTGGACAGAACTGGAAGGTAGGTGTAACTGAATCACACCATGTGGGAGAAAATCTGCACTGGCTGTAGCCAAAGAGGGAGGTGATACAGGTTGATTCATGATTGAAACTCTTCAGGTTGGCACAGGTTTGTGAGACACACACAGAGTAATTCTGATGTTGATTGAAATGCCACTGTATTGCTTAAAAACAAGTAAAGGCACCGATAGCTTTTCAGAATAAGAGAAACACATGTAATGTATCAAGTTCTGTGCTGTGACTTTTGTCTTTTATTTTGTTTGGAATAAACAGATGGAGATCTTGCTGCTTCTGTAACCTGACATTTTCAGTGCATTGAAGTTTCTTCAGAAAAAAAAGCATGAACTGCAACAGCTGTCACTTTGCAGAGATCGAGTGATTGAGAACCTCATAGAGCTTTGCCAGATAGATCCTGATGCATCACTGATGCCTTTTCCATTATAACAGATAGTTGCCATCAGAAATGATATACAACCAAGAAGCCACATTTCATGTCCCAGATAACTGTGTTTCATTTGAGGGATGTGGCACCAGTTATTTAGTGAATATAGGCACAGGCAGCCCTTTTCCCCTACCCATGTCTGAACTTTGATTCTGAAAGGCAATTTTAATATTTATCTTTAAGATTATAATTTATCCAAAGGGTGACAGACTGACATGTATTTTAATGCTGTGCATATGAAAATGTATTAATGCAAACTGATATCCTCAAAATGTAACTGAAGCTGTTGGATGTCACCTTAATTGTTTCAATTAGGCTTTGTATACCCTGCTGTTGTGAAATAACCATGCTTCAAAGCTTTCAAAGAGATGTCTTCAACAATATGTAAAGAAGTAAATCAAAGCACAGTTTTTATGCATTTCATGTTAAAGGAATTTTGCTTGAACATTTACAACTTTTAGATTGTAAAAAATTCAATGACAGTGATTGTCCTCTTTGTCTAAGAAGTTTTGTATCAAACCTTAATAGATCTGGTGCAGCCATTGCAGTAATAGACAACAAAATATATCTTGTGATTCTAAACAGATACCACCCCTGGGGAAAAAGAAAAAAAAATTAAGAAAAAAAATAAAACTAAATCAAAACTTTGGAAAAAATCAAAACAAAAAAAACATTGTGGGTTACTGGTAACTAATGAAATGAGTATGTCCATTTTTCTTCCTGCATTAGGAGCTCAGGACAGTGAAGGAAGTGAAGACACCCAGACTGTCAAGTAAGATGGTTGGGAGATTTGTCACTTGCCCAGTGTTATTAATAAACATCTCACCTGAGTCAAAGGCAAGACTAACTGCTTGTTTACAGCTGTTTACTGTCTACTGTTTACAGCTGTTTACTGTGCTAAGCAGAGGTTAGTCCTTATATTCAATGTCACTTATTTTTCCTTTCAATATCTTGTTCTTTTCAGTAGTTTTATTTCTTAGTACTCTCTGTTGCACTGTATGGGGGGAGACTGGTGAGGCTGAGGGCTGGGGATAGGAAGGTGGGTAAGAGTTTGGAGATAATATTCACAATTGTGAGTCATGGACAGAGAAATTTAGGAGAGAGTTTGTCAAGAATAACTTGAGTTAAGTGACTCCATAAAATTTGAGGTTACAGCTGAAATAGAATGTGTTCACGTACCTATATGATTCCAAAGAAGCTTCCACACCTGTTACAGATCTACATGCAGCATTTGATGCAGGTTCATTACTGATGTATTGGGTGTGCTTTTTAAACTTCAGGGCAAAATACCTCTGCTACATGCCATGGAATGAAAATGCACGTGTTTCCAGTTATTAGAGGTGACAGCCAGTTTTGTGCAAAACAGTCTTTTATTTATCCACCAAAAAGGTATACAACTGGCATAAATCTTTTCAAAATGGTATTGTATTTGTTTCTGATGATATCCACTGCATCATTGTTTTCACTTTATGCTGCCTTAGCCCTTTCCTGTGTATTGTGTAATAAGAAAGTTTGATATTCACATTAAGTCTTTATGCTGCTGGATGTGAAAGTCTTGTTTTCAAAAGATTAAAGATGGCCCCTTGATTCTTCTTAGAACTCCTTCCATGAAGGTCTACACTTTCATGTACACATCTTGCCTTCCTTTTCTTTACCTAAAATGATATGTCAACAAAGGGGCAACAGGAGAGGTTTCTCGGTTCTATGTGTTTCAGTATTAAGTTCTCCCCTCCCCTCCCCTTCCCTCCCCTCTTCTCTTCCTCCCTCTTTTATGCTGATTTGTTATTTGATATTGACCCTTTTCTTATACGTGCCTCTGGCAGTCTTTCACCTTTGAGAGTGACGAAGAAGATTCATCAACTAAGATCCATATGTCAACGTGTTTAAAATACAGCTGACTACACCTGCGGCTGTTAGTGGCAGTAGTGGGATTCTGACAAAGATATTTTGTGATGAGTTACAATAACAGTGAAAATAATACCTATTAAAGAGAAAGCTAGGGGAAGGGTTGTCATGTTTCTGGGGAAAAGTGGAGTAGAAGCAATAAAAGTGATTATAAACATATCTCTAAAATTACCCAGTTGATAAAGATCCAAAAATATGGTTGATCCTAAAGATGTTGAACAAGATGTTCATGCCTTTG